ACTGTTAGTGTTCTGACTCTTAAGTTCTTCCTTTGCCCACTTGAATATTAAAAAGTGTAACACGTTTGGACTGGAGAACTTAAGCCCAATATAGTGAACTTTTCAAGCATTCTGTACAAACTGATGAAAAAATTGTGACTGTTGTATGTGCCTGCCCCAATTTTGTATTGGACTTGGCACCTATAACTATTGTTCAGCAGTCACTGAAACCACTCACACATGTAAGAGTGGAATATCAGTAGAAGAATGTTAACAAGTGCACAAGATGTCAAGTCTAATCACCTCATTACAGTACAAGATACTCCCTCAAAAAATTATAAACTTCACCATTTAAATACGTAGATATGGATACATATACAGATGAGTGTGAAGGAGAAAAGGATACAGACTTAGCAAATAATGGAATTCAGAGTTTTTAAAAAAGTTTCTACCATTTTATGAATGACCTTTCCAGGAGAAAACATATGTTATTTGTTTCCTGAGCCGTATATATTATTAGTTCTGTCAGCACACATAGAGAAATGATGCAGGCTACAATGGTACAAAGAAATTATCTGTTAAAAAACCAACTAAAATTAACTAAATTAACTATAAAACAGGGGTGGGGTTTTGGTTTTTTGGGGTTTGTTTGGTTTTGGGATTTTTTGTTTTTTTTATCTATCAATTAGATAAATGTTAACTACAAAAGGGTAGCTTTCTCACGTAACTCATAGGGGTTCAAAAATGTAATAAAAAACTCCCAACAAACTTAGTCACTGATATTTTACAGACAACTTCCCAATCTTTACCTGGATCTTGGTAAGAGTTGTATTATGGAGGCATGTCAGCCATCCTGACTCTTACCTTCATATCAGAAACAAGCCAGAATCACACTGAGCTAGATTGCATGAATACGTGTGATGTTTAGTTGCAATACAGAGTTTTGTGCAATATATTTTGTCAGATAACGTGCCAGATGAGTTCATTAGTACATAAAATTCTTGTTGACAATAATGTCAGAAATTGCAGATCTACTGTCATTACTAAAAAGTTGAATAATTCAAATTGGTTTAGTATATCCTCTTCAGTTCACAAAAGAAAACTGAGTACAGATCTATTCTTATTCAATGTTCCAGGGCAGCAGGTAGCTCAATCATAATTGCCAATATATTTCAAGTACTTGTCTTGCCATCTCTTCTTATTTAACTGTGTGAAGATATTTTAGAGCCATGAATTTGGAAATTATTTTCATCTAAGATTCAATTTGCTAATTGTTCTGCATTTTCTATTTTGCTCCTTGGCATTCTTATAAATAATATTAAACAAATTCCCCACTGCAGATACTAAGATCTCAGTTTTTACTGATGCTACCCCCACCCCTAAACTCCACTGACTATTTTAAAATTAGGATCTTGCCAACTACAGTTAATTTACGGGTACTTTTAAGCAGTTGGAAAAATCATTCATAAATAAACAGTAAAAGAACAAAGTGAATCCCTGATTAAACTCCTGCATACGTATGACAACACATGACATGACTTGCTATAGAAGTCTATCCATGTTAATTTTTCTAAAAGCTTGCTGTATCTTGTAAAAAGGTCATTAAAAACACTAAAAATGAAGAAAAAGATTCAGTCATTTTCAACCATGAAAGAAGATAAGTACACTTGCACCCCAACTGCCATCACTGCAGAATGACAAACATTATAACATTTAAGGAAAAAAATCTTTCTAACTACCCCATTACAAATAAAGAGAGGCAAAGAGGGTTCCTTTATTAAAGCATAAAGTTTGGTTTTGGGCTTTAATCTGTGCTCAGGCTCTGACATCTGCCAGAAGTTTAAAAGCAAACACCACACAACCACAACAGCAACTATATTTGTTCACTTAACTCATTCTGAGCTCCCAATTGATCCACAGGAGAAAGAACAAAAAAAAAATAAAAATGCCCTTTTCTAGCAGGTAACCTTATTTTGTAGATGGGTGTCATAATCCACAAGGGAGTCACTCAACTGTCATAAGCATCCTACTCTTCAAAGTGAAGAAAATGAGTCATTAAAAACCCTGCTGTAAGTCTTCTGACACTTTTCAGTGTTTGTATTTACTCATGAGAAGACTGCCTCAAGAGCTACAGTAGCCAGTCTACTACTATTGAAAACAGGCAAATGCTTGACCTCTGCTCCTCACTTATTTTCCTACAAAAATATTTCGTGACCTGATCTAAATTAGTGTCACCAGCTACACTCCATCCCTTTCCCATTCTGGTTTAGATATTATTTATTTAAAAGGAGTGACCTTGTTACTATTACAGAATTTGGCACTCGCCTGTGTAGAACTGAGGATGAAAACAGTGTAGACAGAAGCTAAAGACCTTCTGGAGGAGACTTTCCCCTCATAACAGATTAATCCCCACATAAATCTCTAAAGTTGACTATTTTAACTTAAGTATTTAAAATCATATTGGTAAAAGAAACTGTAAAACCTGCAATTCTCTTAAGCTTCTTTAGTAAAGGAAAACAGGGATTACTTCCATTACTAAAAAAGAGTTTCTGTTACCTAGTTCAGTGCAGACATGAGTGCCTGTGGATTTAAACATCACCTCTGCAATCTGCATAGCAATTTCCTTCTGCAGACAACCCAATATTCTCAGCTTCTCTGGGAACAAAGGACTGCAAAACTATGCTCTAACACACAAGTCCTCAAGTTGCCAAAAGCACATATGTTTATGAACAATCATAATCTAACAGTTCAAAGAAAACTTACAGAAAAGCAGTTTTCTGAGCCCATTAGTGGAGTGAGAGAGAATAAGATGATCAGCTGTAGCATGAGAGTAAGGTACCTGCCTACCATGGGAATATTCCAACTTCATTCCAGCTTTTGTGACAGAAAAACCATTTTTGAACGATGTTAACTGAAGCTTTTGTTTCTATCACCTAATTCCATCACAAGTACACGTTGTGATGTGTTAGATCCGGTTGTGCAGGCACCACGGAACAAAAACTGTCAGGAAAGCAGGAAAGCTTATGGGCAAAGTTACAGATGAGGCTGGGAGTAGTTTCCTGTAGATGAAGTTATCAATTATGACCATGTACAATTGTGAATCAAGTTTCTAAATCTTTGGGTTTGTTTTGGTTTGTTTTTTTTTTTTTCCTTAAGGAATATACTCAAAAGCAAACCTATTTCACAGTCCTGCTTCATAAGTCTGTTGGATGATCACATATTTTGAGCTTCAGTGACAATCACATATCTATTTAAAAGTGACCATGGCAACACACAATTAAAGTGGCAGGGTAAAAAAAAGCCTAAAGATTAAAAAAAATATCAAAAAACAAACAAACAAAAAAATAACTACAAAACCCAACAAAAAACCCCACACCCAACTTACATTCTACTCTGCCAGCAGGTATCTTACAGCTTTTTCAGAAGGCTCAGAGCAACCACAGAGCCACAGGAATTCATCTTACTAGGGCATCACCACCAAGGGCAATCAGTAGTCAAAAATTCTGCATACTAAACAAATTATGTACAATGCAATCTTTGCTTTATGGAGTTTATATTTCAAAGAAAATGCTGAATAGGGAAAAAGTACTATCAAGACCTGTACTTCAAAAATAGGTGATATGATCAGTGATTATATAGGAAGGAAGACAACAAAGTAATCTCAAATTGCTCCAAATGCATTTAAGAATCTATGGTTTATTCTGTTATGTTAATAATTATCAACACTTATCACTCACATCTCTTATCTCCACACAGAGCACAGGATATTCTACAGTAGATGAGGTCAATAGTTTTGTAGATAAAATACAGAAGGTAAATTGAGCAACAATGAAAGAAATCTAACCTACTTACATCTCAAAAGCATGGAAAATATTAAATAACCATTCTGCACTCTCACTTATTACTGCATAATCACTGCACTTCTGAGCTGAAGACAACTTTTCTTTCCTGCTCCATAAAATAAAAACAGCTTTCTCGTCCTTGAATGATTATTCCTAAATTTCAATTTATCCCTATTTATTGCTGGGATGATTTCATAAGCCATAACAAAAAGCAGAGAGATAAGCACACGCATTGAGTAAGCATTTCTATACATATTTTTGTTTTAACAGATTTCTTGTTTCCCTAAGCTGATTTTCAGCACAAAAATGAGGATTTTTTTCAATATGTTAGTTTTGTTGATGGGAGCCCTGAAAATGTACTAGTATTACATGAATGCTTCCAGTTTCTTGATTTTCCTAATCTTTAGAAAATTTCAGTACATTTCTTTCCTTAACTACTCATTACTGTCCCCCATTAGCATCCACTGCCTCTGGAATTCAAGCTCTGACTGCAGCAAAGTAAATCTCCAATTTAAATCAATATTCACCTACAAATAATCAACTCTGCTGATAGTTAGTTGTCATTATGTATATCTGCACTAAGCATAACAATTGTGGCATTTGACAGCTCAAAGAAACTTTCCATTACTTTCTGGAAGAAAGCATTTTATCCTCATGTATACTCCTGAAATACAGTTATATTCAGTTTGACTTACTTGAGCCTACTGCTCTTAATTCCTTAATTCCTAAAGGATAGGTACAAGTTTGACACATCTGCATGTACCATTAAAGGAATGCGAAGAGATCACCTGAAAAGCCACAGCTAAAAGAATCACAAAAATTATCAAGATACTGAGATCAGAATGTGATCTTGAACTCAAGTAGCTGAGTTCAACAACAATGGAAAGAATTTATCTGCACATTACTTTTTATTTTTCAAGATATCAACATGTAAATAGTTTTCATCCTGTAACATGATAGAATACACTACATCCACATTTCAGCCACATGCCTGTTTCTAAAAATTTTACTCTGTTTGTGATGCTTAATGTTTCACTCCTTGAGGTCACTTTGCACCACAAGTAGTTAAACTGATCCTGCTTGTTAAAACAATTAAAAGATAAAGTTACTTAAAAGAAAATCAAAAGTACAACTGAGTAAGAAAGGTTACAAGAATTAGAGTAAGTCTAGAACCAACACCTTTAGCTTTGATCCATGGGGCACAGCAGGACAACCATCTTCTCTAGGTGGAATGAACAACTCCCACTTCCCATACTCCAACTTCTTATATGGATGGGAAAATGGATTCCAGCCATCTGCAATATAAGAAATAATATTAAGTATTTATCTTAAAATGTGTCCAATTACAATTCAAAAGCATAACACTATGTTCCATCTTTTTCAGAGTTCACTTCAGCGAAAAGCAGACAAATATTTTTATATCTGATACTATCACACACATTCAAAAGAGGTAAAATGAAGTGTGTAAGAGTTTCACTGTGAAACCATACTCCAAATCTACTTTAACAAGAATTATTTCTATTTCCTTGTCTTTCATCAAAGTCAACACAACCTTCTCCTTCCCCACAAAATCATGGTGGTATGAAAACTAGTGGCTGAAAAGTAAGGCTTAAGGTAGATTTCAAAACAAAAACCTCACCTCTCCTAAACAAGTCAGCAGAAATACTTGTAACACAGCTACGGAAAAAACTAATGAGCAAATATTGGTTATGGAGAGGGGAGGTGGACAAAATGTAGGAAAAACCAGCTTCCATAAATTGAGTACTCAGACCAGGTTCAGACACATACACTACTCACTGCCTCTATTTTGACAGGCTGATGTATAAAATAAAAGTGTCTAAAGTAGGACAAACACAGGGAAAACTGCAGACAAAACTTGGCAGTAACGGGTAGAAAACCAGACAATAACAACACAGCCAGGAAATGTGGCCTGAAATGCCAGTTTTAAGTCTTGAGGAAGACTACCTTTTCATTAGATTTTTATTGAGGCAAGCTTAGCTACCATAATTCCAGATCCTTTGTTCCGTTTGGATTTCCCGAGCACTGGACACGGGCGAGGTTGGTCATTATGACACACCCAACTGAACAGGCATCTGCCAAGGTGGGCTTGTGTGTTTGTAGGCATGCCCAAGGTTAACTCACACAACTGAGAGTGAAGATGTTGCTTCTCAACTGACACACTGTGGCAATGGAATCATTTCTAGAAGGAAACAGCAAGCTAAGTTTGAAAATTACCATTTTTTTTTTTTTTTTGCCTTGGAATATGTCTATCCCACATAGTTCAAGGCAATAGACTCCTAAGCTAAAAAGCAACCAGTTGACACAGAAAATTGTATTACAAGACATTAAAGCAACCCATGCTAATCTTCCTTCATGGTAATTTATTTGCATGCTATGGCTTGTTGTAATAGAAAAAAAAAAAACAAACCAAAAACCACACATCAGTGAAAGAAGAATAAGCAGCCTCCAATTTAAGAGTATTAATCTGAGCTCATATAAAACAACATTGCAACTAAACATGGTAGTCAAGGTTAAAAGCAATTAGATGAAAAAAAAAAAAATGGACATGCGACCATAGAAATCAACAGGGGAAGTAGACACAGGGAGGAGTTACAGTCAAATCAACATGTATATTTTCTTAAACATCAGTAACCAAAAATATTGTCTGCTGTGCAACAAAAAGATAATCTTCTCTAACAAGATATGGCTGCCTTGAGTTTCAGAAAAAGACTAGGCTGCTTTCCAAGATGCTCCTCGCACTTATGCAGCTGTTTAAAACCTGAGAACTGCCAGTCTTTAAAGAAAGCTGAGAGGTACAAATCAAACAGGCCAGACAATGTGACCAAAATAACTAGGCAAGATAAATCTTCTAGTACCTATTCATTTTGCAGTAGAGAGCAATGTCAAAAGCAATATAGAGATTATTATTATAAAACATTTCCCGTGCTCAAAAACACAAACGCAATTAATTCAATTCTCCATTTAGATGATAGTTTTTATCACGATTAAAGCATTTGGATAGTGCAGACAAATTGCACATATTAGCAGAAAGAATGTATTTACTAAACTGTTGCTTGATTAACAGCAGAAGAGCTTGTGTATTAGTAAGATTTAGATGGGCCCTCCCCATTGGTTTTATTCTGAAGTTCCAATCAAGAAAAATACTGAAATTAACACTACTAATGTCTACAAAGACCAACATCAAACAAACAACACCTTAGCAATAAAGCAATACTCCTGAACAGAATGTCTAAATTGCAAAGTATAGACAGTATTTATGCACTATAATACATTTATTTATGTATTTCTGGGCAGGGCAAAAGAATGTAGAATACATCGTTGGATTTGGTGACTTAAAAAAAAAGGTTAAATTAGTAATTTTTAAGCTATAAACAGCTAGACTGTTACATTTTTCATCTTTCTTCTGTTTTCTCGTTTTTGCCTGAAATGTTTATTTCAGACAATGTTAAAAAGTTTCAAGAAGACAGCTTTAAAGAACTGGTTAGTATTTCTGATAATCAAGACCCATCTTATGGGATTTACTCCTAATTCTTTCAATCCTGTCCCCCCAGATATCTGATCATCTTTATTGCTTCTCACAAAACTCTTCCCAGTTGAGCTGTACCCCTTGACTACAATGCACAAACTGAACCAAGTATGGCAGGCCATGACTTGCTAATATTGAGCAAAATAAAATATGTTACAGCAAAAAAAAAAGTCTCAGGCCCAGTTTCTATAAAACTCACTCTGGGGAATCTGCATGGAGTTTGTTATTTACACCAAAAGCACTGAATTCATAGATTGTTAAAGAGATTCTCATGGCTGCTATTAAACCCATGGCTCTTCCCTCCCTCAGAGGGGGAATGGTTGCATCTCTCTACCTATTTAAAATCTCTGCTCTCCCCAGGCAGATTTGATAATTCTGCCCAAGTTGCTTAAACTTTCCCCTCCACCTGCCAGCAATACCAGATGCTCCTGTTAATCCCTCCTGTTCCCAGCCACAGTCCTTCCTGATTGAGTGTCCGTGGTTCAGGACTTAAGAAGAGATGCAAAGCAACAACCATCTGGCCCAGATGGTCCTACTTAAACCTCTGTTTGCTACTTACCCCTGGACAGGAACTCACTTTGGAAGGTTATAACAAAAAATATTGATTTGTATTAAGGCAAGAGGCATAAAGAACTTAAAACACCTTGAAAACTGAAGGCTTCCTTCCAATTTTACTGCTTAGTTTTCAGATTTTTCAGCAAAACTTAGCCCAGAATGCCTTAGGGGACAACAATAAAAACAAACCCAACCAACCAGCAACTGATTAACAGATTTATGAAGCTGAAAAAAAAGAAGTCAAAAGAAACATTTTCGATTGAGAACAGGGACTTCAAGGACTCTGCCAATAGCTACAAACAGAAAAAGGCTGAGAAGATTACCAGGAGAAGTTCAAATAATCAGCTCAAATAGAACTTAGGAAAAAAAAGGACACCATCATGGAATATCCATAAGCCACACAAAAAGACAAAAGCTTTGTGCAAAAGTTCAGGCCCCAGATACATCTTAATCCAACAGAGGAAACATCTTCAATAGCCTGATACTTTCATTTTCTCTCATCTCTGTGATTATATCTTCCAAATTGAACCAATTATTTAAACATTACATCCCATCTCAGCAACGAGGCACAATGGAACTTTCTGCTCAGAACTGCACCCTTAGCATGCCAAACAACCATGAACTGAGCTTTAATCTAGAACTGAATTCAAGGCTACAATGGTTTGGGTACTACCATTTGTCATGAAACTCAATTTAAATGCAATACTTAAATGCAATACAAAGCTACATCATTTAAGTGATTTCTTCTTCAATCTCCTGACTGTTTTCACATGGACAAGTATGTAGCTATACAGCTCTGAGTCTCATGGCTTAAACTGGGAGTTTCATACCAAAAAATAAACACTTCTCTTGCTTCTCATAGAGGAAAGGAGTGCTTCTTGCTTTTTAACCAAACCATTGCCTTTTTCCATTCAAGAGCTGATACATCAGTGCAATGCTGTACCTATTTTTTTTAAAAGTGAAAAGACTTCATACGCTGAGTTTGAATTCTCAAGTGAAATAAACCCATCTCTTACAGCAATTATATGTCCACATTCCACTTTTTGATCAGCTGGAAGATGCCTAAAGAGAATACAGAGTCCAGCAAGCATTCACACAGTGACCTTGAGGAAAGGATATCAGACAAGCAGAAGTTCAGACAAGGGAAGTGACATCAAAATCCTACTATCCCAACAAGATACCTTTATTGTACTTGATTAGAATATGAAATCAGAACATAAATGGAGAGGTTCTCCAAGGACACTATACTGTTCTACACAGTGGTCAATTAGGTCTTCTCCCACACTGCCTTATTTCCAACAGCTCGACAGCAGATCATTAACATAATCTGCTTAAAAAGTCATTAAACAGCTGAAACACTGACATAAAAACAAGTGTCATCACTTCTCAGATGGGATGTTTCCCTGGATATTAATATCAGCTTATACTCCAACCTACTGCCTTCTGTAGGCACAGAAGTTTTGCTATTTGACTTTACTCATCAAATCAGGGTATTTTTCTATAAAAATCTTTGAAGGAAGCAGTAAGAAGTTCAGTATGATATTATAATGGTGTCTAGAAGCCATTTCAGTAAAAGTCTGGGAAAAAAAACAAACCAAACCAATCTGATATGAGTTTCCTGTCAGCTGTCAGATATCCAAATTATGAAGGTTGGTGGCTTAAGCTCTCCTTTCTTCACTCTGAAGGAGGCCTGTCAGAGTTTAAATAATAAATAAACATCCACCCCAAACCTGTCAGCCCAGCTTCCCTCCACTCCCAGCAGAAGACTCCCCCACTCGTGCAAGAAAGAGGAAGCAAAAACCAAACAGACATTCTACAGTGATCAACATTTCAGACCTCATGTTAGCTGGGAAGGAGGGTAAAGAGGGCACATAAAAGAAAAAAAGAGGATCAAAGAACAGAAATCACAAATATGACAATATTTTATACCAAATACTGACTTCCAAATTAACATATGCATACTTACTCTTTCAAACATAATTTTTTTTTTTAATTAAAGTATTGTTTATAGATAACCTACTGAGTTCTCTGCATGGCCAAATACAATTTTGAGTGTTCTAATCCCCAAATAAATTCCCTGGGTTAGCCTCAAAACTTGCAGTTCCCTGAGTTATTTCGAAATAGTCAATTGTAAAGTGGCAATAAATTTCCAGCAGTCACCACGTTCCTCAGCAATACAGCACATGGATGAAATATTCACTGTTATCACTGAGAGCTTTTAAGGGACCCATAACGTTGATTCTGCCTCTGGTATGGGGAATTCAGCTGACTAATTGCCTCATACACTTGATTTACTGAGATGCTGAAAGCACTAATTGACAAATCTTAATGGTTTTGGATGTTCATCTACTCAGACAGAGTAAAGCATCATACTAGAATACCAACACATATAATACTTTTTTTTTCTCTCCAGTTATGGAGTTTTAAAAAGACAAAACCAACTCAGTCTTTTCTTGAATTCATGTTTTCCCATTCTCCCATCAAAATACAGATTTGTGTGCTACTACTAGTTTCAGTGATACTAAGAATTTTTCTATTGTTCATTACAAGTTTCTCAGAACAAAGTAAAAAAATACCATTATTTGAGTCAAAATACCTTAATAGCCAAGTTTTATTGTCTGCTATAAGGCATAAAAGTCATTCACAAGAAACTTTACGGGCTCAAGGCTTCATGGGTATATAATTACTGAAATAAATTATTCATGTTTATCTGAAGCACAATTCATAAAAAGCTATTATCAACTATCAGCTTAATTATACATTTTGAAAGAAGTTCAAGGTCTCTGTACCATACTTGCCATTATAATTTTTACCAGTTTTTGATTCTCAAAAGCACAAGATGAAATAGCAGGGACTAATATTTTGTTTGATGGAAAGACACAAAAAGAGACACACCCAGGAGATTTGCAGACAATAGCCTATTAAGGAAAACCCTGAGAACTCACTGCTATCCATCTCCAAAACTAGAGCATGGATGGACAGTTTTCATACTATATACAACCATAGTTCAAAACCCAAAGAGCTCCTGTCATCTAAAGTTCAATGTTTATTCCTTGGTACAAGATCTCCAGCTTTCCCCCCTCTGGTTCCACTACAGTTCTCTTGCAAAAAAGTTCTATTTAAAAAAAAAAAATAAATTATTAAAAGCAATCCCAATATCCAATTTAAATACAATATAAACATAAATTTAGTTTGAGACTTTAACCTGCTTGAAAACTTAAATAAAGGTTAAAAGGATTCAGTTTTAATTAAACATATCTGTAGCAAACTGATCTAAGTCTTGGGGTTTTACAATGCAATTTCTCATCAGAATATTATTAAAGCTCATCTGAGTTGAATGACAATCTTTCATTCCTCCAGGCTTTCCAAGTAGCCTTTTATTCCCCTTTTGGAATGAACACTTTACTATGATTTTTATTATTACTATTATTATTTACTATGATTATTATCATTATACTTCACCGATTAATATGATTAATATATAGGAGAAACAGTTTTTCCACATTAAAGTGAATTTCTTCTCAGTTTTTTTGACTTCTAACACCTTTCATTAGTGACTAGATAAAATTACTCTAAGATATTAGTCCTAAAGTTTTGCTTCATATGATGTATTACATCAAATATTTTGAATGAAGTAGAGTTTAGAAAGTCATTCCAGTTTTTAGCTACTGTATTCAGGTATACACACACTTCCCCCCCCCCCAGTCTGATAAGCTAATTTATAAGTTATAACCTCTATTTAAAATATTAAACATTTCATTACAAGTCTGGTTTTAAAATTACCATCTCTTAAAGTACATGTTTAAAACTACTGCATTCTAGCCTTCAGCTGCATTGAGTAATTTAAAGACTGTGACACCCATCCCAGCACAGGAAAACCTTGAGCAATGGGTGGGGCTGCAGAAGTAGAGGAGATATAAGGAGGAGAATTTTCTGCATCTTTATACGTATAAAGTTAAGCTCTTAAAATAACCTCATCTACGTGTCTTGCAGTTGGTATTGATAACTGAAATCACTATTATCTAGCAGTAGGTGAACTAGACACGATTCGTTACTCAGTTTTGAATCAGAGGATGTATCTGATTCCAATATTAAAATTCAAGTACTGCACTAACCTATTTTATCAATGTCTATTCCAATAAAATGACCAGGAGTACTTCAAGGAAAGCTACTCTACCATTCTCTAGGTTCACCATATCAAACAGGGTCATGGCTGAAAACAGTGTTGCACTAACTTTACTGTTCATCTTTTGCATCAAAAACAGAAGATTTTTTTTTTAATAATCATTTTTTTTAATAATCACCATGAATAGTGGACCCTCTCCCAATTTAAACAGATGCATTATATTGCTCTGTTCAGAAAACAAAGCATAACATGAATATTTCAATGCTTTCTTTTGTTTATTTTGTTTATAAATGTATTGATCTTGGGATTGAGGAAAACCAGTACTAAAGCAGACTGCTATGAAGCATTGAAAAACTTCTTAACAATGGATCTGAAAACCACTTTTTATTTGATTTATTTCTTTATTACTACACACAGTTTTACAGAAGTTTAACCACAGTACTTTAGAGAGCACCACCAGACACTACAAATAATGGCATGTGTAGTTAATCTTACTCTAAAGTTATCTAAATACATATGATTTTAAGTTCATGACTGCCTTCCTCAAATACAGTTTGTCCTTTCAAGTTTCCTCAAGGACATGAAAGGAAGAAGGAATACTCAACATTTAACTTTTTTTTTAAGCACGAGGACTAACTGCCTCAAACTAGCAATTTATATACCATTTTGTAATATAAATACATAAATTGAACACTCCCCCCAGTCAGTATTTTGGCAAAATCAAAGTTGGATAAATAACACTGCATGCTTCTGAAATGCAGTTAAATGAGCCAAAATCCCTGTTCAGTAAGTACCAGCAAGGAAAGATCAAGTACCTTGATGGACTAACATCTAACCCCGAAGAGAGAGACTAGAGAAGTGAAAAGGAAAAACAGAACAAGGCTCAAAAACCCCAAGCAAAAAAGAGATAGAAACTAGTATTGCAGGATTTAAGACCAATGATGGACATGCCTTTTATTTAAGAGTTTGCAGAACAGGATTTAGCCTTCCAAAGAAGAAGCAAATTCCCATTTTTGTTTCAAATTCAAAGGGAATAGTCTTCCTGGCTTTCAGAGCAAGCAATGCAATTCCTCTATGTAATCCTGCCACCTTCCCATTCTGCTAACATCCCTCCTTCTCCCCTCAAAACAGAAAAACTACTCTTTTGTTACTATTTTGGTTTGATTTTAGGCTAACATTTTCCAGCAGAACTTTTGCCTACACTTTCAGGACGGGTGAGAATTCTCAAAGGCCTTGGTCCTTTAGACAACACCATTGCTGATCAGTAAAAGAAGATAAAGCAAATTATTTCACTGTTATTTTTGCTTCTCTGCATACAGTTTTATAAAAGCCTAACTATAGAGCTTTAAAAAGAACTTCTGATAGTTTAGACACAGCCTGAAGTACCAATGTGATGCAGTGTGACACAAATTATGGGTATTAAGAAAAAACACGTATAAAACTGATGATACAACAAACACATACCTTCATAGGCTACTGCAACATAAAGGAAAATATTATTTATTTTAGCCATGACATATATTTTTACAGTCAGAATTTCATCACTGCTACAAAATTGTCTTTAAAGGAAGAGGATGTTTGATGTAAAACACAGTGCAGGGGAGAAGAAATATTCCTAAGAGTACTTACTGAAGTCACCTGCAAGAAACACCGCTTCTGCTCCTGGTGCCCACTCTCTACAATATATTCCACCTTCCAGAAGCTGGTTAACTCCAAAGGTTTTGTAACTCTTTGTAAATTTATCAAGGCCTCCTTCGCATTCCTCAATGTTCTTCAGGTGGTTATAAGAGAGAGTACCTTTCAATGAAAACAGAGAACATTTTTTAGAAAGTTTAGTAAGCGCCTTTCTTACATTAACAAGTGTAAAAACCTAAAAAAAAAAATTAAGTGAAACACACTGACACACTGTCCTAATACTATAACATCAGAGTTGTTGTCTACAGAAGTAGGAAAAAAACCATCAAATACAATCCATACATTTTTTCCATGGTTGTTACATAGCCCAAAGTTGCAATCTTCACATTTGTTGGCACTTTCTCTACTTTATGGAACAGTTTGCACTTTCAATCTAAGACTCCAGCTCCTGATTGGCAGCCAAGAAATCCCAGTATTACCACACAGCAGGAGAACTTCACACTCTGAACAGCCCAGCACTTTTTCCTCCACCTTATTAATATCAGACACAAGCCTCCCAGGGAGAGCTGTACAGCCCTGCTACGTCTCTCACAGCCAGTTTTAATGGACAGACAACCTCAGGACACTGAAAAGTTTGCAGTTCAGCACAGGGACAAACTAGTCTGGCCCTTGCAGAAAGCAGTTCATTAGGCAGCCTCTTTACAGAGGCAACCAGCAGGACTCTGCAGTCCCCGACACTGCAACGGTTTGGAAAAAAATCAGTTTCCTAGAAGTAATTATTTGGACCATAACCTACTTACACCAGGAGGACTTGAAATGACGTAAACTTCTAACATAAAACTTTGCTAGCACCAGCTTAGAGGGTTTTGACATATCTTGACTTTTCTCAAAGTGTGTTTTTGGAATCTGTGGTAACATCAGGGGTACAATATAAAGATGAGAGTCAGCTTTGACTCCTAAAGTGTGAGCTGTTATGTTCAGATGTGCAGAAGCACATCTAAAAGCTGCAGTTGGGCATTTAATTAAGGCAACCTGCACAGCTTTTTCTCTTTTGTTTTAAATAAGACACTCCTGTGTTAAATTAGAAATGTGTTTCTGTTTTCCATAAATGGTGAGGAATCTTCTGAAGGGTGTAAAACCTAATAAGAGCCCCAGCAAAAAAAGTGTTTTTTGAAAAAGGAAAGAGAAACAGTAACAAAGTAAACCAGTGCTATGAGATAATACTTCTCTTAGAGGATAAAAGCAGCAGCCTGTTTGCAGTGTCAGGGCTTAAGACAGAGCTCTGTGATTTGCTGTAAAATTTTGATTTAGCATTGGCCCTTAATTAGTTCAAAGTAGAAGATTAAGGTGTCTAATTACTAGTTAAAGTAAATAGCATTACCTATATTAATTTAGAGTATTATGAATACTTTCAAGGTTAATCTCCCAGCAGGTTTTTATTATGAAGACTGATGCTCATCTTTAAAGAGAGCAAGATTTGAAAATGTCTCCAGGATAAACTATAGCAAATACACTCAACTTTTTTGCCCATCCACCCGCACCATTCCCTTAACATTTGCTCGTGGGTATAATCCTCAGAAGTGCATTACTATAACTCCTCCCGCTCTGATAATCAATTTTATTTAAAGTGCTTGAGGGAGAACGTTTTGTCAGATTTCCAGCTACAAGTGTATTACACACATATACAAACTCAGCTGACTGACTCACATTTCAACCAACTGCAACCACGAATATTTGCATAAAGTTTAAATACAGAAACAGAGCAAGTCACAAATAGCCTCAAAAGCTCAACATATATCATTTGATAAAGTCACATCACTCCATTATTATTGAAGGGTTTTCCCTGGGAAAAAAAAACAAAACAGGATGGTATTGCAATATTAAGTCTTTCTTTAAAATATGTTGGTTATGTCATATAAGAAGTATAATTATATATATACATGTAATATATACACACACACAAGAAGTATATCTCCTTGAAAAAAAGAAAAAAAAAATATATAAAAAGAGGTATATTTGCAGTGTCATCTACAAATCCCCATTTCTCTACCATACATACACGTCCTGCATTGTTTTCACCTCATTCCACTGCAGCTGAAGCAAGACCTGCTATGCTATAGGTAGCCACTGTAACTCCAAAGAAGATCTAACTGAAGTAATGAGTTTGACACAGGTAAAATAGAAAGGGTGTTTTGGAACATGTTATCTAAATAAAATTAATCTCCCCCCCCCCCATTTCTTGCCACAAATACAATTTCACAGCTTTAAGAACACCTTTGGTTGAATGTGATATTTTCCACATTCAGGAAAGAGGGAGAGAAGTGATGAGAATCTTTAAACAAAAGTCAGTCACAAACCCTTGAAAGCTGAAGAAGAAGCAAATTATACATTTATTGCCAAAGAAGAACAGCAGGGCAAAGAGAAGGACTGAAAACTCTGTGCAGAAAAGGCCGATACCCCCTTCAACATCATCTCCCTTTTCCATGGCCTACTCCTCTTCCTCAGGGTGAGCCCTCCCCAGCCAAGAGGAACCAAGCCCATTCATCTCATTGCAAGGAAATAAGCAGCAAAGAAATTCAGAATTTGAGAGTGGGCAGGATGAAAATGGACTTTCAGAAAGCAATTATATGATTCTGTATCTTTGGGAAAAATCCCAGACAGCAATACACACAATATACACTCTGGATTCCTGTTATAGAGGCACTAAGAGTACATCCACTGCTTCAAATTTTGTCTTTCAGTTTAAGCAAACAAAGAGACCACGGCAGAGAGAGACCATGGCATTCAATATGTGAAATGATCGTGACTATTAGTGAAAAAAAGACTCTGCTCACTTTGTAGTAGAGGAGAGCAAGACTACACACTCAATAACATAATTTATTTTGAAGGTAGGAGGTGGGAGGGCTAGAAGGGAAACAAGAATTCTTGATCAGGGGTATATAACATTTTTACAATAGCTTTTTACATAGGACAGATTTTGAACAGCTAATACAGCATCATGTACATTCACTAAGATTGCTCCTTCAATTTGCACACAAGCACACTGTGATAGACCAAGTTAATTCAGATGTTACTGTTCCATCATCATTGCAGAAATCAAGAGTTTTGAAGCAATTAGTGTTCCACCTGATTGCTTTTAAATTATAATCTGGAAACCCTCCAGGTTTGTTTGTTTGTTTTGTTTTTTTTAACTATCTCCTGAGATTATCAAATAAAGAATTGTAGTTTGCTCAAAGTTAACAAAAAAACCCATCAACTTCTGAAATGGATCAATTACTTGTGCTGTGAACCACTCTATAAAACCCATCTCAGGAGATGAAATACATCTGGACATGGGACAATGTTACTTGTCCTAGAAGGTCTTGTAAAACAGCAGAAAGGTCTTGTAAAGCAGCAACTGCACCCTGTTGTTGCTTTAAAGGAAAGGACTGAGTAAAGTACATGCTCATGTCCATATTTAGGGAACTTGAAGGTTTAGCTTTCACAGAAACTTCAGCATTCATTTCTACACTACTGAAGCTTATTAAACTTTTTTTTTTTAATCTTCCAAGCCAAAGTCCCAGGATTACACACAGAAAGTGACAGGAAAGAGTTTTTTGCCAACTAATTCCAAACATTTATTTTGTTCACTACTAGAATACAAGTCTTAAAACCAGGGAGGTAAACATTATATTGATAAGATTAGGTAAACATTATATTGATAGGATTTTGTGATCCCCTCAACACTGAGAGTTATGTCACGTTCAGTTATGCATATATACACATATGACCCTGGACACATTTCATAGGTGAGAACCTCAACATTCTGGACCTGGGAACAGAGTCAACAACAGCACCCAGACCTACAAGTCACAACAGAAGGCTGACTTCTGCCTTCATACTTTTCAAGTTCTCACAGCCCAATGACTGACTGCGAAGTCTCTTAAGATTTTTCAATTTCCTGGCACTAAAGTTGACACTGAAGAGGACTACAAGGTAAAAACTGTACCCAAGTATGACTTAGAGTACAACCATTACTTTGGGACAAAAAAACCTAAACAGAGAAACAATAGGATCTACAGAACTCCAGGTACAGAGGGTCTGTAATAACTGGAAGTAGCTGTACATGAAGTCCTTTACCACAGCCAGGTACAGCCCCACACATCTGACAAGTGCAGACAGAAGGAGGGGGCTGCTTTTGGTGCATTCCTTACTCCCAGAGTTCTTACAAAAAAGCAAGCTTTCCAAGTCCCATATCCATTTATATCAATTCTGTTAATAGATCAGTGTTTTTTAAAACTGAAATACTGAAATTAAGTGTTTTCTTCAGACTTAACTGGAAAGACAGACCAGTCTTGGAATTTCTCCAACACATACACCTAAATTGAAACAAAGTACTTTCCTGCCACCAAATGCTCCTACACCAGCATTTCTCCCCTCCCCACCACTGTTTCCCTGTGAAATACTGGTAATCATAAACATCATTTGAAACAGGGTCACAACAGTCTTTTCCTACTGTTACGTTCATAATTTGTAACACAGCATTGCTTTAAAACCCATGCTTTATATGCAGCTCTGTTTAAAGCCTTACAATAGAAGTGTAGGAATTGGCTGACTTTCCACTGAAGCAGGATTAAAACATCAAACATGAATGAGTATAATGGCTATTCAGAAAGCAAGTATCTTGCCAATAAAATAACCTTCACAGAGAACAAGTAAAGACAATATTAAATCAGTAGTCGCTTCAAAGATTGGTATTTCAGGTGAGCACTTACTCCTCACACTTCTATCACTAAAACACCCTCAAATATTCTGTCTTATGGACACCTATAGACCTAAAACTTTTACAGTAGAGGTACACACTTCTCAGGGTTTGATGCAAAACTACACAGTCCTTATACAAAAAATAGTGTTCTATTTATTTGGTAGCCCTGATAGACTAAACACTCCTGGTGGTGCAGTTCCTACAACCACTGACTCAATGCAACTATAAATCCCATTAAAAGTTTCAGGCATGTGTTAGAAGCTTCAACATGGAGAATAAGAATACAAAAAGTCAAGCCTCCCCTTCTTCCTCAAAGTCAGCTATTTTAGTGAAATAAGACTTCTGGCAGACCACTGAAGAAGTCTGATGGTAAGTCAAAACACTGAATTAGAGCCCCACATAAAGCTTTATTCTTCCAAGCAGCC